CGATCCTCCAGCTGCTCCTGGAGGACCGCGCAGGCGCTGTATGCGTCCTGCACATGCATGGAAGTGCAGAACTTGTCAAAACTGGGTAAGGAGCGCGGGCGGGCGGGTGGGCCCTTCGCCGTTCCCGGAAGTTACTTACTTCCGGGTTCGCCGACCAACCGGTTTGCAGGGACCGCCGCGAACCAGTTGAAACCCACCCCTGATCCTTAAGTTCAGTTTGGCCAACCCTAAATGACGTCTCCTGCCATTTGTCACTCACATTTGAAACTTTGGTGAAAACAAAATTAGATCATTGTTTGTTTGTTCATTTCTTTATAATATCTATTTTTGGTCATGAGCAAGGCGCCACATGTACTTTTGCAATGAAGTTTAGACTATGCTGATTCAGGATTTGAATACGTGGCTTGACCTATTATACACCACAAACTATTGGTCAATGCTGAGAACAAGAACAGGAAAACTTCTCCTCTCCTCTCCCCTCCCCTCTCCTATCCTAGATACATATACAAATGAATGAAAATGGATTTTTTAGTCCACACCCAATGCAAATGTAATCAACTATATTCTTCAGAATATACATTCTATTCTGCTTCTTTATTTTGTCTAAATGTTAACAATTCTACTAGAGGTTCCAAAAACATCTCTAAACTAGGCACAGGAATATAAAACGGACAGCATTCCCAAGGTTTAAAAAACGGTTGAAAAATTCTGAGAAAGCAGTTTGGAATTTTTCAAAGGAAGAAAAAAAAGAACAAGATCCTTGATAGATGCATTCAATCATCTTAAATCAGTTCAGTTGTTACTAGTTACTCCAGGAATTGAATTCATGCTCAAGTGGTAGATTTAGCATCAAGAGAAGCATTTTCCCCATTCTGGTGCTCTTTGATGCTGAGACTATAGTTCTTAGAATTCCTAGCCAACTGATGGGATTGGGATGGACTGAAGTGGGTTGTATAAAGTCTACCTACATGTAGTCCTTGTTAAATGTCCACAACTAGGACCAGCAAGTCAGTTGTTAAACAAAGAAGTCACTAAGTAAAACTGTGACTATATTTATTATCATACTTCTGCTTTTCTTAGCTTTACAGAATCTTCTCTCTTCTTCTCTCCTTCTTCCTCTCTCTCTTCCTCTCTCTCACACACATACACATAGATTTAAAGTTTTGATAATTTACATTAAAGAGCAATACTTTCACTTCATTTTAAAAAAATGTTCTAAATAGGGCTATAAATTGATTAAACTTGTAACTTCATGACCATCTATATGGAAATTAGTTGGTCTGAAATCAACGAGACATACTTCTCAGTAAACATGTATAAAATTATGCTATCACTTTGGTAGTAGGATAATGTTTTTCCTATTATCATCACTTTCCCCTTTTGATTTTTCCCCTTCTGTCCTTAATTCCAGTGCATGTGGGTATAAGAAAGACTATAACATACAATAACCAAGTACCGAAAAGAACATTTATCTTATGTAAAATGAAGTCATATTTTAGTCTCATAATGCAGAGAGATCCAAATTATGCAACCAATTGATTAACCATTCTGTTTGCAATTTCCTAACATCTAACAGACATCCCGATATGAAAGTTACATAGAGATCGATGTGCAGATATAATTTTAATATATTTCAGTGGTCTTTGCCTCTTATAGCTGTTTCTAACTACCAATTTCACAAAGGCCATAACTTCATCAGCTCTGACAATTTTATTAATTTAAAAAATGTGGCATTTAATCCCCATTCTGGTGCTCTTTCACTTCTCCTCCAAGAACCTCAAGCAACTTGAATGATTGTTTGCTATTTTATCTCACCAGCCGTGGTCTAAAATAGATTAGACTGAAAAATCTAATTAGCTAAATGCAGCCAGAGATTTTAACTTTCACACCTCTAATATCAATCCAAATACTGATCTTTCCACCATTTTGTTCCCAGTTCAGTCTACTGCTGCCATCACTTAAGCTGAATGCAACCTAGTCGCCGTCCTTTAACAAACCCAGAGAGAAGTTCACAACTTGTTTCAAAGTTCAAAAGCGGTGAGATTAAGAAACAGCTCAACTTATGTAGCTGTTGGTTGAATTGAAGGAATTTAGCTGCCAGCTACTCATGAACAATTTGCCAAGCAGTCAAACTCCTCTCTTTTTACTTTCTCTCCTTTTTAAAAACCTGCTACAGTGAAATTAATAAACATCAGATCCTTCACTTACCATTGTTGAGAAAACTGTGCGCTTCCTTGCCTGCTCGACAATGCTTTTTTTACAAGAGGAACATTTTCTCTGCCCTTTGCCTGGAACTTCCTATTTTGAGCATTCAGTGGTTTTATCCAGCATCTCAAGGAAAAACTAATCCGCACAATCCACGCTTTGCATATTGTGATCTGGCATCCACACGGTGTGTGGCAAGAGCTCGGAAATACACTGTGCAGTTTAAAAGGAAAGGACTGGTGAAAGTAGAGGTCAGTGGCTGTAATATCTCCAGAAATAAGAAGTACCTTGTTACTTACACACAAACCATTGCCTTTTCTCATTAAAACTGGTTCTTATTTTGAGATTTTAAAGAAAGGATTTCTCATAGTAAAACCCCAGGCACACAGTAGGTCTTCTCCCGTTTATCTGGGGATTGTTCATCTTAACCAACCAGCTCAGTTTACTTCTATATGGAAAGATCAGCTCTTTTAGCATTAGGAGTGCTTACCTTTGTACATCCTATGGTGCAGGGGTGGGTTTTGGCAGTTACTTCTGCTGGTTCACTCATGGGTGTGCCATGCGTGCATGCACACAGTGCAATAAAAATTGCTCTGCGCATGAGCAGAAGCAAAAAAGCAAGATGGTGACACCATAGACGCCGCATGGAAAACCGGTTTAGGGGCATGGCGGGCATGGGTCACTGCCAGTTCCAGCGAGCCAGGCCGCCAAACCACTATTGGTTTGGCCAAACTGGTCCAAACTGGTAGGAACCCACCACTGCTATGGTGTACAAAAGAAAAGCAAAAAAATCACCCTGCCAACAAAAGTGTGTATAGTTAAGGCTATGGTTTTCCCAGTTGCAATGTATGGTTCTGAAAGCTGGACCATAAGGAAGGCTAAGAGCCAAAGAATTGAGGTCTTTGAACTATGGTACTGAAGAAGACTCCTGCCAGTCCCTTGGACTGCAAGGCGATCAAACAGATCAGTCCTAGAGGAGATCAACCCTGTTTAGAAGGTGAAGATGAAACTCAAATACTTTGGCCACCTAATAAGAAGGAAGGACTCACTGGAGAAGAGCCTAATGCTGGGAAAGATTGAGGGCAAAAGAAGAATGGGACAACAGAGAATGAGGTGGCTGGATGGAGTCACCGAAGCAGTAGGCTTGAGCTTAAATGGTCTCCAGAAGATGGTAAAGGACAGAAAGGCCCGGAGGAAGGTTGTCCATGGGGCCGTGATGGGTCGGACATGACTTTGCGACTAACAACAACAGCAACAATGGTTTGTTTAATTATGCATCATGGAAAAATAAATTGTAATTTGTGGGGTTCATGCAAGATAAGAACATAAGCCATAAATCAGATGGAATAATGTCTGGGAGGTCAAGAGCTTTGTTAAATAATTTTGCAGGATCCTAGAGTAGATGGGACCACAATATACATATGGGTGGGATTTCTTTTTTTCTATTATTTTTTTACTTTGTCCCAGTAAATGAAGCCTTTTCCTTCTTAAATACCCACAGCCCACTACAGTGGGGCAAAAAACTGATCCTACACTGGTGATCTAACAGAACTGGCCATGTTGTCTAGAAGGACTTTGTTGAATCCTTGACGGCATGAACCTTTTTCATCTTTATTCTATATGAAATAATTTGCTCTCGCTGTAAGGCAGTGGTTGCCAACTGGTGGTCTGCGGTCCACTGGTAGTCTGCGAGAAAATGTTGGTTGTCTGCAGAAATATTATTTGCATTTTTTATATTGCACTAAACCAGGGGTCCTCACACTACGGATACATGCAGTGAATGTTTATGTTGCTGCAGAGAGTCTCCCCCTTGGGGATCTTTTTGTGTGGGTCAGAGGGAGGGAAAGAAATTCTGACTTGGGGTTTGCTTCAGTCTCCTGGTGCTGGGCTTTGGGTGAAGTCTGGAGGGAAGCGTCACTGGTGCTGAAGAGCCAGAGGGCCTTGTTCCAATGGGACTGTATCATGGCCTGGAACAGAAAGCTGACCATCTCAGCCTGCTGAGCCTCCAGGTGCCGGGACCTCAACTTCCACTCCCGCAGGTCTTCCCTCTGCTTGGAAATTCTATGCTTGTAGTCCTCAGTCAGGTGCTTCTGCTGAGCCTCCTTCTTGGGCAGATCCAATTTGAACTGAGCCAGCTGTTTTGCCAACTCTTTCTCGTGCTGCAGCAACTGCTTCCTGTTGGGACCCTAAGGAGCCCAGGCGGGCAGAAGAGGAATGGCTGGGAGGGGAGGGGCGAGTAGAGGCTGGCGAGGTGGCCCTTGATGTGTGACATCAAGTTAGCCATGCCCACCCAATCACATGACCACCTAGCCACGCCCACCCAGCTGGTCATTAGGCAAATCATTATAGTGGTCTGCGGGATTTAAATTTTGAATTTAGTGACCCCTGAGGTTGGCGACCCCCTGCTCCAAGGTATAGCCATGCCCCATAAACATATTTGTCATTTTATTATCCTGCATTGCTTTTCATGCAACCACTAGCCACTGGTCTTTTCAGATGGACTGCTCTTACTGCTATTGGTGAAAAGACACCCTTCAGCTATCGACTTTTTGATTATTTTTTCCAGTGGGGGGGGGGAAACAAACAAGATAGCAGAAGATGGTAGGAAAACAGGAGGAAAGTAAGAACTCTGCACTTAAGACACCCTCCCAACATTCTGCAAGAGAGACAAAAGAATTGCATAACAAAAGCCTTGTGGCGTACATCCTTTGTCAGACAGGAAGGGCGTAAATGTTCAAAATAAAGTCAGATCCAGATTGCAAACCTATTGATCTTAACAATCTTTGAATTTCACCACAGTTCTGGCCTTACTTGTACACTACCTTCATTTGGAGAATGAAGAGTACATGTGCTTTAAACAATGTCTTTTACAATATACTGGCAATTTCAGAGGAAGCTGGTCATTGAACAGGAAGAAAAAATTGGGAATGTTCTAAGATCTTGTCCTATCTTGTAAATAATACTAGCCAGAGTTGTATGGTTTGAATCCTATAGACCAGCGATGGATAATTTTTTAGACACTGAGTACCCAAACTGCATGCACACATTCCCAAACTGAAAGGTGCGTGCACACATGCAAATGCATGCAAATGCATGCATGCATGGACATGCCTGAATGTGCACACACATGTACCGACATGCACTCACGCATGCACACATACACAGAAGAGACCCGAAGACCAGCTGGCCGACGGGAGTCCGGGCATCCCAACACCGGCAGCACGGCGAGAGCTAAGATTTTTTTTCTTTTGTAAGCTTCTATTTTGTCATTTTCAGGGAAACAGAAGCTCATGGGAAAAAATGCCACGGAGATCTGAACTGGGGCCACAGCACATGTGCCAGCACAGAGGGCTCTGCATGCCACCTCTGGCATGTGTGCCCTAGGTTCACCATCCCAGCTATAGACTGTTTGTTGTTTGTAAACTCTTTAGATGTGGTCGCAGAGTTAATTGTTGTAGCCCATTTTTTAGTCTACGGACTTGGGGAGAAGGCTCAAAGAGTTAATATGGATGTGTTAAAATATTTTGTCACTGGATTTTGGTGGCTTGGTCCAAGGGCTATAAATTCAGAGGATGGGAGGCTCTAAGGGGCACATGGTTTTTCTATTCTCTGTACAAGAGAACAAGGTACTAGAGTTAATAAAGCAATTATTAAAACAGCAGGAAGGATGTTCTTCAAACTGCAGTGACTAATTCACATATCGTATTTTTCAGAGTATAAGATGCACCTTTTTCCCCTCAAAAAAGAGGCTGAAAATCTGGGTACGTCTTATAAACTGAATACAGCATTTTTTGCCTCTCAAAACGCCACCCCCTTCACCAAAATGGCCATGCAAAGCCTGTAGGAGGCTCTCAGAGAGCTCCTGGGGGCTGAGGAGGGCAGAAATGGGCGGAAAACAGGCTGTTTTTTGCTCATTTTTTTTCTCCCCCAGCACTCTATAAGGCTATGCATGCACCTTTTTTGGGGACAAAAAACGGGCTCACTTTCGTGAAAAATGGACTGGTTTTTACTCATTTTTGCCCCCCCCAGGAGCGCTCTACAAGCCTCCTAAAGGCTATTCATGCCTTTTTTTTGAAGAAAAAAAAACGGGCCCATTTTTGCAAAAAACAGGCCATTTTGGGGAGGTCTGGAGTGTGCAAAAACTTTTTTTTAAAAATTTGCCTCTTCAAAATATTGATACATCTTATACTCTGAAAAATATGTTATCTTGACTGCTACTTGAAGACTATATTCTATGGACAGATCTCCATGTTGAAAGATGCACTTGAGGGACAGCACTTGCTCTCCTGTGGCTGCAGATGCATCCTATTACTCTATGACTCTGAGAATATGTGGAAAGCTGCATTTTCTAGACCTCAAACTAAAAACTTTACACCCAGTGGACCAAATTTCCATGGGGATTTACATCTTTTGTAAATGACATTGTCACACAAGTGCCATACATTATTCTAATTATATACTTCTGCATTTAGTAGACATTTGTGAATAATGGATATCACCATTATTCATTACAAACAGGCTTATTTAATCTCCCAGTGGTTTCATTATAATATGTACTCAGAGGGAAAATATGGATATGAAAATACTATGTTTATATAATTGTATAAATTATATATGTACTACTACTAATTTATATATTATATAAATTATATGTGTATTACCAGGTTATAATAATGAAAAGCAGTCTATAAGTATATTAAATTTTGTGTGTGCGTGTGTATTGTTAGTTGCGAAGTCATGTCCAGTCCATGGACGTCCAGGCCTTCCTGTCCTCTACCATCCTCTGGAGTCCATTTAGGCTCCCACCTACTGCTTCAGTGACTCCATCCAGCCACCTCATTCTCTGTTGTCCCCTTCTTCTTTTGCCCTCTGGGAAAGATTGACGGCAAAAGAAGAAGGGGATGACAGAGAATGATGTGGAGTCACTGAAGCAGTTGGCATGAGCTTAAATGGACTCTGGAGGATGGTAGAAGACAGGAAGGCCTGGAGGAACGTTATCTATTGGGTTGTGATGGGTTGGACACGACTGCTACAGTATTTAAAATTCACAGTGAAAAAAGCAAGATCATTAAAAATATATGAAAAAAATAACCTTTATCCACAACTTGCTAATGGTGGCAGAAAGAAAATAAAGTCGGAAGAGTAGCCCTCCTAGAC